ACTGAGCCGGTTGCCTGCCCACCGGTCTCCTAATACACTTTAAATGCAGAGCTGCAGCAGGGGTAGGTACCGGACCAAGTTTGAGCCAGAATGAGCCAGGCTGCTGGCCCAGCCTGCTAAAAAATTTACTGGTTGATCAGGGAGAGGGAAATGCATGTAGTCTATAGCATTAACCTATAAGCTTTTGCTTATCGGTTAATGGACTACACTACTACATCCCTAGTACAAACCCCACACTGTCCATGAAGAAGTTAAGGAACTGCTGTTTGGTCATATCTGCGAGGTATGTCAGGCTTAGAAGAAGGGGAAACCCATTCATCATTTAGCAGCAGCAGGAAGGAAACATGCCTTCAGATCCCAGCTACCAGAGAAGGGCTGGACTGACAACTTGGAGGAAGGGTGGTCCCATTAGATCCAGGGTCAAGTCACTGCTCTACCACTGCCTTCCTCTGTGACCTTAGGAAAATCACTTAGCAGGCAAGTTTAGGAAAGATTTCATGAACTGCTCATATAAGAATAGCCACACTAGGTCAGAGCAAAGGTCCAACTAGCCCAGTGTCCTGTCCTCTGACAGAGATCAATGCCAGGTGCCCAGCGGGAGTGAACAGAACAGGGAATCTTCAAGGGATCCCTCCCCTGTCACCCATTCCCAGCCTCTGACAAACAGAGGCCAGGGACACCATCCCTACCCATCCTGGCTAATAGCCATTGATGGATCCATCCTCCATGAATTTTTCTAGATCATTTTTTAACCCTGTTAAAAGTCCTGGTCTTTGCAACATCCTTTGGCAAGGAGTTCCACAGGTTGACTGTCTGCTGCATGAAGAAAACATTCCTTTTGTTTTAAACCTGCTTCCTATCCTCTGGGCACCTGTGAGGCCTGTCAAATCCACAGAGGGGTTACTAAAAGGGAGGATAACTGGCCCCAGAGCAAAAGAGAGCTAGAACTCCTTAGCCACACAGAGCCCAGTGAGCTATTGAAGAGCATCTAGAGAGGTAGAGGAACCATCTTTACTCTTTTTATTAGGGCCCCAGGCACTCACCCTGGGCCCCCTAGACACTCCCAGGGGGTTAGGAGCCCAAGCCTGTGTCAGAGACTCTACCTTTTGCCTTGTGAGGATCAACGGGGTGAGCCTGGATGGGTTTGTGAGCGGCTGATTATTATGGTTGCCTTTTTTATTTTGAACAAAATAAAAGCAGGTGGAACTGCCTTCTTCCGACATGTAGCCAGAGTATGGACCCCGCACTTAGAGGTAGAGACGATTGTTAATACTGGCGGTTATTAACAATCAGTATGAAGAGAGGATGCTTACCAGCAGTATCTGATATTTCCTCTCTTCAGCAGCTGCCCGTCTCTCTCGCTTCTCTCTCGCATGTTGAAAACCATTCTGATGTCTCACAAGCTGCTCCTGCAGCAACACCAAAGAAATGACTCCAGCTTTAAAACAGACCTGAAAAATACCCTTCCACCTTACACCTGGCCCATCCAGGATTTGTGTTTTTATTAGGGTTGTGGCCCACATGGTTTCTTTATGATGGAGAAGGGAAACCTTCCTGTAGTGGGGTGTTTGCCCCACACTTGCCTTGAAACGGTTAATGGGGGTTCAGAATAGGAGTGTTAAATATCGGTTAACTGAATAGTCGATTAACCTCATGAATTCTTATTGGTTAGTCAACTATTCTATAGTCCCCGGGAAGCCCCTGTCTGGGGGAAGGGGGGAGAGGTCTGAGCACAAGCCAGAACTAAGCTGGGTTACCAGCCCGCCTGGCTCTTAATACACTTTAAATGCAGAGCCTCAGTGGGAGTAGGTCTAGGACCCAGTGCAAGCTGGGACTGAGCTGGGCTGCGGGCCAACCTGCTAAAAAATGTACAGTAATTCCTCATTTAACACAATAGATGCATTTCTGAAAATGTTCATGCTAAGCGAAAACGTGCTATGTGGGGGTCAATTTTCCCATTAAAAATAATGGAAAAGGTGTGGGTTGCGTTTCAGGTGGTGGGTGGCAAAGTCAATTTTTTGTTGGTGCTCGGTCATCAACATCAACATTAGATATCTAGCAACACAAGATCTCTAGCAGCACAAGTCGCCACGGTTTGTTAAAACACAAAGATAACACATGACAGTGGATGAGCGCTGTGACCACGTGTATTCATCCGCTCATGCGTATTACCACTGTTTTCAGCAACTTATACTGACGCACAAAGTAATCTACCACTGGAATATTTTCGTGTTATTTCGGGTATAGTTGTGTTATTTGAAAAACCTTCCCTAAAAAAAAATCGTGCTATTGTGAAAACGTGTTAAGTGGGCACGTGTTAAACGAGTAATTACTGTACTGGCAAGGGGTGGTAGGGAAATGCGTATAGATGGTATTGGGTCCTGCCCTGAAAGCAGGGGATGGGACTCAATGACCTCTCGAGGCCCCTTCCAATTCTACTGTTCTGTGATTCTAACCAGGAAAGATAAAACACTAACCCCTCCTCCCCCCCAAAACACCCATTTTTGCAGAAAAACTCTGTAGTGTAGACATAACCCCAGAGAAGGGAAGGGGCAACCCTGCAGACCAATAAGCCTGATTTTTTGTTTTTCTCCCCACTACTTTGCAGTCACATAGGCCTGTGAAAAAGGGCTGTGAGAGTCAGCTGCATTTTATACCCCATTTGCTCTGATGTCAGGAACAAAGCAAAGGCCAAAAAAATAGCCTGGGGAGTTGAGTCCCAATCAATCCATCCCCGGGCTTTCTATCCAAATGTCCTACCTTAAACTCCTCTGCAGCTGCCTCAATGGGAAGGACGCGGTGAGCTCTGTGTTGCCAAGACTCTCTGCAAACCTTGCAGATGAGGGTCCGCTCCTCTTGGCAGAAAAGACTGAAACGTTCTCCGTGTTTCTTGCAGTCTCCATCTAGGCCTTTCACTCTGTCTGCCACGGCCTTCAGCTCCTTGTTCGGCCTCAGCTCCCCCTCAGGGAGAGATTGCCTGCACTGGGGGCAAATCCCTGCGCCCGACGCCTTCCAGTAGTTGGTGATGCAGGCTTGGCAGAAATTGTGCCCACAGTCTAGAATCACTGGGTCTTTAAAAGGCTCCAGGCAGATGGAACAAGTCACCTCATCCTGGATCTGCTGTACAGGGCTGCTGCCTGACATGGCTGCTGTGAAAAAGCTGCTTTCACTTTCCTAGCCTGTGTAGTTCCTCATCTGTTGGGAGGGGAGGGAGAGGAAATAGCAGAGAGCTTCCTGCAGAGGGTTGTCATCTCTGTGGGACAAAAAATGGGCACATCTCCGAGTTGGATGGGCCTGCCCTTATACAACAGGGCAGCTGCGAGTGTGTCCTAAGCAGTGCTTCATTTTGTATTGGAAAAAAAAAAGGTGATTGTACTAGGGTTTCAAAAAATGTGTCACGCAAAACAAACAAAAAAAACAAAAAGGTAACCAGGGAGACCTGGGAGGTCAGGGCCAAAATGTAGTCATGGCCCCTTTAATTGCTGAGTGTCCTCAGCGGGCTTACGTCCAGCGCGGCGCGAGTGCTCCCAGGGCCGCTGTGCCAGAGGAAAGCGGCGAGTGCTCCCCAAAAAAGGTGACAGTTCACAGATTTCCCAGGGCTACTGCCTCCAAAACAAACAAACAAACAAAAAAACCCAACCTGGACAGGGAGCATTGAAGCTGCATAAAATAACAGAGCACAGAGCAACAAGTCCCCCCCCTTCCCACCTTGGCTCCCCCGAGGCCCAGACAGGAGTGAGAGACATTAAAACATGGACAATGAGGATTATTTTACTGAAGTGGAGAGAGGGTGACCAGAGAGCAAATGCAACACTGAGGCTTTGTCTACACTGCGAGTTTCTGCGGCAGAACATATGCTAATGAGATTCCAACTTATGCTAATGAGTCCCTCATTAGCATATTTTCTGCTGCAAAAACTCACAGGCTGTGTCTAGACTGGCCAGTTTTTACGGAAAATCAGCCGCTTTTCCGGAAAAACTTGCCAGCTGTCTACACTGGCTGCTTGAATTTCCACAAAAGCACTGACTTCCTACTGTAAGAAATCAGTGCTTTTTGCAGAAATACTATGCTGCTCCCGTTCGGGCAAAAGTCCCTTTTGCGCAAAACTTTTGCGCAAAAGGGCAAGTGAAGACAGCTGAGATTTGTTTTCCGCAAAAGAGCCCTGATCACGAAAATGGCGATCGGGGCTTTTTTGCGGAAAAGCACGTCAGATTGGCCACGGACGCTTTTCTGCAAAAAGTGCTATTGTGGAAAAGCGTCCGTGCCAATCTAAATGCTCTTTTCCAAAAATGCTTTTAACGGAAAACTTTTCCTTTAAAAGCATTTGCAGAAAATCATGCCAGTCTAGATGTAGCCACAGTGTAGACCAGTGGTCTCCAACTTTTTTAACCACAATATCACTTTTTCAATTTAAGTGCAATGTAAGATCTACCTCAAACCCAAATACCCCGGCCTAGCTTCCTTCCCTCCTTCTCAGGCCCCACCCCTGCTCCACCCTTCTCTGAGGCCTCACCCTGCTCACTCCATCTCCCTTCCTTCCCAAATCTCCTTTACTTTCACCAGGCTGGGTTAGGTGGTTGGGGTGCAGCTCTGGTCTTCGGCCAACGGGTTGGGAGTGTGGGAAGCTGGACACCCTGGGTATGTCTACACTACA